TAAAAAAATTTATTATTTTGTACAACCATGGTATAAACATGGTATAAAAGCAGTAATGGTATATAACATGGTATATAACGGGTATATAACAGGGTATAAACTAGGTTGTTATAAACCCGCCCATCACTACATACAACATTTACAAACAAACCCAAATAGAAATAGCAATGAAACCAATTTTACACAAAGCAAAATTAAAAGCTTCTTAATAAAAATTTAATGGAGGAACTGCCAACCATTGAAAAATTGAAAATTAGACATCCATATTTGTATAGAAATTGGAATTGTTGTGTATGTAACAAAAAAAAAGAAACATATGATCATATATGGCTATGTGAAAATCAGAAAGAAATGATGAAAAAAATAATTGAAGAAACCCAAAATCATTTCAATAAAGAAATTAGTAATATAAAAAACAACAATGATAATAATGATAAATCAAACAAGATAAACAACTTGCAAAATAAAGAATTTAAAAATATGTGGACACTGGAAAAAAAAGAAGATAAATAACATTCATTGATTTAATAAAGGAATCATACCGCAAAATCTTAAAGATACTATAACAAACATTATGAAAAGTGATAGAAAAACAAGCAGTATAATTTGTGACAAATGTATAATATGGACAAAAAAATACACAAAGAAATTTGGTTAAAAAGATGTGAACTAACAATTAAACAAGAAAAAAAAAATATATGTGCTAAAGAAAAGAAGAAAAAGGTAACAAAATTAAAAAGAACAGATACAACAAGAACAACAATAATAAAAATACCATAAAAAATAATTATAATAATAACAATAATAATGGTGGAGAATTATGGTGTAATTGGATATTGAATGGTATAAAATATGGTAACAACTGGAGAGACTTTTGTAGTGATAGTATCAGTACTGACATTTTGTCAGTTTGTTCCTAAAGAAAATTAGTGCAAAGCTTAAACTGAATATTGAAATCAATAATCAGACTAATTGGAAGGAACAGACGATGAACAGTTGACCTAAACAAATATAAATTATTACGGAGGGTAGTTACATGTTAAATAGAATTAAATATTTGTATAATAACAATAATAATATATAAATTTTTCTAATAAACAGTGTAACAGTACTGCATCGTTTAAAAATAAAAAAAAATAAAAATAATGAAAATAAGAATAGATAGAATAGATAATAAAAATAAAAAATAAAAATTTAAATTGTCCCGGAATTAAGAGATTCGACCAAAAGATCTGCGTCAAAATCTAATTCCGGCATAACTATCTGAATAGGTTCCACCGCAACCTTATATATTACACCATTTTTTTCCCTTCATGACCAAATAAAATTTATTGCACAGGAAATTTTCCGGTAATTTCAACTGGCATTTTGCGCCCTGTGCAGGACATAATTCAAAGACATGAGACTAAAAATGGCTCCTCAATTAATTGTGGCATATGAAAATTGAATTGTGGGCTAATTGCGGTTCCCATATTTACACTAGTGATGGTGGCCGATAGTTTAGGCATTTAGGCAATTTTGGTTTAGGCCCATGAAAATTTTCTGGCGAAGCCTAAACTGCGGGCGAAAATCAAACAAACAATCAAACCTATTGTTTAATTTATGGCCATAAGAATGTTTTATTAAACAAAAAAAAAAGAATTAATTTGCAAAAATGTTCAAAACGAATTAGATCAAAAAACGAACTATATAGGTCACATGTCCTACATACGATTGGACGACACTTGAATAAATCCGTTGACAATTTTAACAAGTTTCAACCCACACACGGTTTAGGCAATATTCAAGTTTTATCACGCCTAAATTCCTAATTTCTGTGGGTAAACTTATTTTTGGATTTGCTAAAATAACCTTGGCTACCATCATTACATAAGACACAATTTGTGTATGAACTTTAATTCAAACTTTAACTCTTTATTACATGAAAACTTTTTAATTTTTTTAACATCAATGTTTCGTAGCCAAAAAGGTTTTGTTAGCGAATAAATTGTCATGAAACATGCTTGCTCCATGAATTGAGACTTGCATCACGAATTGCATCTCGCGTCAGTTGTATAAAATTATGATAGGTGATGGTGCAATGCAGATTTTTAATTGCAACCTCGAGTATAATTGGTACAGTCCAAGTTTTCAGGTTTCGGGTTAAAATTCTTAAACCTGAACCCGGGCCAAAAATTATCAGGTTCACTCAGACCACTCGAAGCTTTTTAATCTTTATAACAATAGTAAAGGATGAATTTAAGGATATCACTTGTCCAAAACCAGCACAAAATGTTGGCAGTTAACTTCTTTTTGATTCTTTTCAGGTGTTGTGTTAAATAAAGCTCTTTTACTGGTTATGATTTTTCTTTCTTGGTAAATTCCATAGGTAATTTTCTCTTTTCTTAGATAATCTTTGAATATCAATTAATTTAATAAGGAGCAATTTTTTCGCCTTGTTCCTTCTTAAAAATACTTTTGATAGTGTTATAATTCCATGGTGGACCTGATGTAAATTAGTTTCACCTTTTTAGATTCTGCCCTCTTATTGCATCAACTACGCCTTTTGCAGTTCTAAAACATCTAACATACTGTTGATTCTTGGGGTATTATATTATATAAAATATAGGAAGAGAGAGATGATTTCAATTAATATATAAATAAATGTAGTAAGCAAGAGAGAAAAAAATAATTGATAGATTACCATCAACGGCCATAATACAATGATAACGTGAATCTGAATTGTTGAGATTGTGAACAGTGATGAATTCAGTGTATTCATTCACTCAGCCAGTAACTTTTGGGTAACATAATAACAATATCTTCTTCATAAATTCCAATTCATTATTATGAATATTGCGTTTCCATTTTGCAATGCACTGGTGAAGCTTAATAAGTTTATTGAAAATGTTTATCTATCATTAATCAATCAAATTAATCCAAATTTGTAAAATTGTGAAACCATAAATGTTACTCTAACTTCTATTTTTACTGACAGAAAAGAGAGACACGCACAAAAATTTTTTTTTCTTCGCATAGTAATAGCATTACATCTTTAGAAAGTTTATATAATATTTATTATATAATACTCTCTCATTTTTTCTCTATACATATATATTTATTTATTCAAATTTTTTATAATGGCTCATGTAACGACTGTACCTTGTCAGGTAACTTTTTATTCTTGGGATGATTTCTATATAAAAAACCAAGCCTTTAATAATTCATTGGTTTTAATTGCTGCTTGTGATAATTGTTAGTATAGAACTGGAAGAACCCTTGGTCAAGGAACTTATGCTGTAGTTAAAGGTTGGTTAAAACAACGCATATATATACATATACATGTTATAATACATACAATTGAAATGAAAATGCTTAGAATGTTCAAAGAAAATATATAATATGTACGTATATTAATATCAATTATATCAATTATTTAATCTATATATTGTCTTTTCTTTTAATATGTATAATAGAGGCTCAACATGTATGTATTGATTAATTATTATATGTGTATGTATATATATTCGTTATATTCATTTTACTTAATTTAATTCATTTCTCTCCAAAAAAAAACCATTTAGATCAAAACAGAAAAATATTATGCAGTAAAAGTAATTAATAAAAAACTTATGGAGGGTAGAGAGCATATGGTTAGAAATGAAATTGCAGTTCTAAAAAAAGTATCACAAGGTCATAAAAATATTCTAACTTTACAAGATTATTTTGAAACTATAAACAATCGTAAGTTTATTTTCTTATTGTTATTTTACCTTTTAGTTTAGCTTTTTTTGTTTCCTTGGCATTTATTAATAGTATTTGTTCTTTATTTATTTATTTATTTTTTAACTTTAATCAAAATAATATATATTGTATCTAGTTTATTTAGTTACAGATTTGGCTCTTGGTGGTGAATTATTTGATCGTATTTGTGCAAAAGGAAATTATTATGAACGCGATGCTGCTCATCTTGTTCGCAGTATAACTGATGCTGTTGCTTATTTGCATGATAACGGCATCGTTCATCGTGGTAAGTTGTAAATGTATATATATTGTCGTTATATAATCGTCTTATATTTATTATATATGATTTTTTTTAAAATATAAAATAAAAATTTGAAAATATTTATACTATTTATGTAGATCTTAAGGTGAAATAAATTTTTTTGGAAATAAAAATATTTAACAAAATTCAATCAAGAGCCAATAACAAAAAAAAAAAATATATTAAATATATTTGTTTTTGACGCTTTTTAGCCGGAAAACTTACTTTTTAGAACTCGAGCTGAAGATTCGGATCTTCTTATTGCTGATTTTGGTCTTTCTAAAATCATTGATTCTGAGAAATTCCACGTACTTACCACCACATGTGGCACTCTTAGTTATATGGTAACAATAACTACAATTAACTATCCTAATGTTTATTTTATATATTAATTATAATATACATGTATATATGTGTGTGTGTGTGAATATTAGGCACCTGAAATATATAGTAGAGTCGGCCACGGTAAACCGGTAGATTTATGGGCCATAGGTGTCATTACTTACTTTTTATTATGTGGTTATATACCATTTGAACGGGAAAATAATGCTGATGAAATTGATGCAATTCAAAAAGCTGATTATAAGTTTGAACCTCTAGAATTTTGGGAAGGAATTTCAGAAGATGGTAAAAACAAACAAACAATAATATTATTAATTATTAATTATTTGCTTGATCATAATAAACATGATAATAATGGTAATTTCTTATCATTGATGATGTTTAGCCAAGGATTTTATTAATAAATTACTTACGATTAATCCCGATGCTCGACTTACTGCTCATCAGGCTTTGGCGCATCCTTGGCTATCCGAACCGTTACAAACTCCAGTCGGTGGTTACCCAAATCACGATTTGTTGACTAGTGTTCGTCATAATTTTAATGCTCGTAAAACTTTTAAGAGAGCTGTGGATGCCGTTAAAGCTATCAATAGCCTTAAAAATCATACAAGAAGTAACAGTCTTGCCAGTTTATTGGAAAAAACTAAAGCTGAAATGGATGAAGAAGTCGATCAAGTTTTATATTATCATTGAATATAAATATATATCACATATAGTTTTGGAATTTTAATTTTAATTTTTTGGGATTCTTTAATAATATATTTTTTATATATATATTTATATTTCAACTTGGTTCAACTTTATTATATCAAGAATATACATGTAAGGTTTTATTTATTTATTTTTTTGCATTTGTTTAATCCTTTTTTATATAATAATGATGATTGGAAAGAATAAAATTACAAAAAAAATATTATTGTTATTACTATCTATGAAATAATAATAAATTAAATATTATCTTTACAAATTATATGCATCATCCAGTGATATTGTTTTTCACGTAAATATGGTTCAACAAACCAAGGTAAAGTTAGCAAACTAATGAAATACCAAAAAAACATACCAACAAATTTGGTGAATCTCCAATTATTCAAGTTAAAAAAATATTTATAAATTAAATTTACAATCAACTCCCAAACAAGAAAAATTATACCGTGAAATAAAAAAAATCCAAAATGTTCACCATAACTTACACCAAAAGTGGTATAATTTATGTATTCATGTATTGCAGCACTTATGAAAAAACTACCTAAAACACCTATTATCTCGCCTAATATATTTGGTTTTAAATGAGATTTTGAAGGCTTATATGCCAATTCTACAAAACTTTCATGGATTAATTGATGCCACCTATTCGACCAAAAATCTCTTGGACTTGAAGAAAGATATGGTTGATCAAACATTGGTTTCGAATAGAATAATGTAGAGACTAACCAAATTTTTAGAGAACTAATTTGAACAGAAAATTTGACTTTTCCAATTGCTTTGTTTTGATTTTTTTCCTCGTAAAGTAATATCAAATATAGTAAATTTGAAAAAATCATTAAAAATATCTGATATAAATACAACATAGACATATAAAGAGTTAATAAATATATTAAACTATAAAATATTTCATAAAAAGATGTAATATTTTCATAACCGCCTTTACTACTATCTCTAATAAAAATATATTTTAAATAATTAATAATGCGTGTTGGATAAGTTTTTGTTCGAATTTTAGGTGCAAAGAATTCCAAAAATTCAGCGCCTGAAACATAAAATAACCAGTTTCCAATAGTCAACATGCCACATTTATTCATATATTTGATCAATTGATCTGTTGTTAAATCTTTAATGAATTTATAGTCGTTGCTGTCATTGTTGTTATTGTTGTTTATAATCTTTCCTTCTTTTGGTCTCAAATTAAATAATGCATAAAAAAATGGAGAGAATTGTTGTTTCTTCTTCTTATCATCATTGTTAAAATAATATTTTTTCAACCAAATTATCATCTTACACACATAAACTGATGTAACCAAAGTGCATGGTGTTTGAATATTATATGGTAATTGGCCTGGATAAATTGAGGGTGTTAACAAGTATCCAAACATTGAAAACAATAAAATCATTAATCGATAATTGAAAATCTTTTTTGGTGATGATGAAGGTTGTGGTAGAGGAGGAGGCTTAAACGAAAACCAAATGAAAATCGATAGTGGAATAAGATTTATCAGAATATATGTTGTTGATGAAATTGGAGACGACGTGGGAGAATGAACTGAATTTTTAAAAGCCAAATATTTGGCACACAACACGATGATTATAATTATTGATTTTATTAAAGAAGACATTTTAACAGTGAATTCATTTTTTTTCAATAAATTTAATAATAAATCTTTTTTAAAGTGAATTGTTTATATTTGGTGTATTACACTTGGACAAATGTGGTGTTTATATTCCTAAACAAGGTTTTAAGTTAAACGTTGCAACGAGTGAGTGGAATGAACAATAGTAATAGTAAGACGGGCGGGCATGTGCACGAATTTATTTGTAAGGAAGGACAAAACAACGGATTGTTTTTCTTCGCAGGAGCAGTAATCATCAACTAATATTAATATTAAATAGCTAGTTTACTAATCTTTTTTTTTAGTCGCAAAGAATTACAAATCCAGTAAGTAGAAGCATTCTATGGGAGCTTTTCTAGCAAAAAGGGCCTTTCAACCAAATTTGTGTTTTTACATAATATTAAATATAAAGATTATTTATTATATAGCTGGCAAAAATATTAGGTCTTGTTTACCTTTTAAAGTAGTTTGCGCGTGATCTACATACCCCATTTTTAATAAAAAAATAAAACGTTTTATTATTGTCAATTATTTAATAATTATATAGGCGAGTTTGATCGAAGCAAGTGTTAGTCAAGATCCATGAAGCTTGCAAAACGAATGTTTATCAATTATTCAATAATTATGTAGGCGGTTTTGATCGAAGTAAGTGTTAATCAAGATCTATGAAGCTTGCAAAACAAATGTTTATCAATTATTCAATAATTATATAGGCGGGTTTGATCAAAATAAGTGTTAGACAATTTATACATTTTATTTATTATTTTATAGTGAATAAAATAAGTATTTTACACATTACGTACATTATACGCGGGATCAAAAACATACTATTACTAGTACTAGTATTAGAACCTTTTTAGTATTAGTGCTAACTAATATGTTACAAATTCTGTACCTTATATGCGGAATCAAAACGTACCTTTTCAGTATTAGTATGTTAATGTTACAAATTCCGTACTTTATATACGGAATCAAAAAGTACCTTTTCAGTATTAGTATTAGTATTACTATGAATGAAAGAATTAAGATTTATAGTTCGCTAACCATTTAAAACTATTATTATTATTGAAAAAACTACGTATAGTCGAACCTCGTTATAACGGTCCTTGTTATAATGGATTTTTGTTATAATAATAAAGTATAACTTCATCCGACATATATAAGTTCGATCGATATAAGAATAATCTCGTGATTTAAAAAATTAGACAACATAAACGCACTTTATTAATAAAACATGGACTTTATTAATAATAAATAATAAATTTATTTACATTATTGAAAGTTATGTTAATAAAGAAAAGAAGATTTCGAAAAAGAAGCGGTAGAATTTAAAAAATAAGAAATCAAGGAAAATTGTAATTGAAGAGCCAAATAACTTTATAACCATATATAAATAGATAAATAAATAAATATTTTAATTTTAATTTCTAATATCTTTAATTCTAACATGAACAGCATTTCTATGAGCTTCCAACCCTTCATCTCCATACCATATATCATTTTCTTCATTATATCCACTATTTTCATTATTAGCTGAAAAGTTATAATTTATTGGTTGAAAAGGATAATATCGTTGTGTTCGATTTGATTTGGCTATCGGTTTTTTGGATTGATTTTCAAGTACCATTTTTCCGAATTGAGATGTCATTTGTCCAATTTCGTCCACTTTTGATTCTATTCTATCCATTCTAGCGGATTGGTTTGTTCTTTGAAAAGGTTTTTCAGGATAATTTGAATCTAAATCATATATACCTAAATCGTTATAGTATTTCGCTAAATAATAATTTTCATAATCTTTTTCCGTTTTTAAATTTGATGGGGGACCTCTTGGTTGTCTAACCGGTTCAACTGGTGCCTGAGTTTTCTGTGCTTTTTGGGATTGAACTTCCTTTCTTAATTTTTCTATCACAGCATCAGAATCAGATTTCTGTTTTTCTAATGCCTCGTTAATCATTTTTTGTATATCAGGTGATTGCGAAATTACTGGAGCTTCTATTATTTTAGAGTTATAGGAAGATTGTTGATAAACGTTACCTTCATTCAAATTTGGAGTACGTTCTAGCCACATATTTTTTAATTCAGTGAAAAATTCACTAATACCACCTGGATCAGCAATTTTCATCCATGTATAAAGCTCACCTGGTAAATGATTTTTAAGAAAACCTAAACTTGTGCATCATCGTTCGCTACTCCTATTGTTAGTAGTCGAATTCTAGCTTCATAAGTATTGGGTGTATCATAAGGCTGATATCTTTCTTGAGTCAATCTTTGAATTGCAGAATGTTGGCTACCTATTGTTTCTCTTTGATATTTGGCATTTAAATAAGCTCGTAATGTAGCAGGTGTATTTATAGCAGGATTATTGTGAGTAAAGGGGTCATTAGCTGGTACTGGAGCAAACTTACCACCTATTTTGCTTTTTAAAACATTACATTTAATGGCATCATCAAAATCTCCAGCATTTGCAGTTTCAAGAGCAGTCATCTGAGGTACTGCAATAGACCATGCTTGTTCTAATGTATTTACATAATCATCAGGAGGCATTTGGCCTATATATTGTGGAATTGGTTGAAAAGATTGATATATTAATTTTAATACTGGTCGTCGTCTACCTTCTGCCATATTTTGTGGGTTATTTTGTAGCAATAAAATTTGTCCCTGTACATTTAAAATTATTTGTCGTTCATCTTTTGTTTTATTTTTCCATTTTTCATACCTATCAAAAATTCGGTCACGGTTATATTCTAATAATCCATTTTCAGTACGACATGCATTTAACTGCCTTTTGTATCGTTGTAACAATAAATGTATAGTAAATTTATCCCGTTGTAAATTTATAACATGTCTATGTTTATCTTTATAGGAATAGTACCAGCGACGTCGTTCTTTTACTTCACCATTATATGCAATAGTCATTAAATTAAGATCAGCTTCTGTATTTCTTAATTCTGTTTGACGTAGGTCTCGTTCTGCTTCAGCATTATATCTTCGTTGTTGCTCATTTATAAGATCTGTTTGAAGATTGTTGTATTTGCGACGTATCTGTCGTGTTACTCTTTTTATTTGATTGGATAAAATTGTTCTATTTGTTCCAGGGGTATCCAAATAATTATCAATAGTATCAGCCAACTCAATTATTGTTGTCATATCTGGATCAGATGTATAACTATCCTGTGAATTTTCGTCTATTTCATATTCATTTTCTATATTCCATATCTGAGCATTTTGTAAAGTTTCTTGAGTATTTATAAGTTCTACTCTATCTCTGTATCTTAATAATGCTAATGCAAAGTTTTGACAATGTAAATCTATAATACGAGTTTTTTTCTGAGCTAATTTATTGTCGCGATCTTTAAGATTATATTTTAAAGTATCAATTTCACATTTGAGACGTTCATTCTCATCTATTAACTTTGCCGTTTGGTTGTATGCTTTAGGAGTATTACCTGCAGATTTTGATATTTCTCGAATTCGGGTTTTGAGTTTTTTTTCTCTGACATCAAATTCAGCTAATTGATTTTCCCTGGTAATAAGTTCCTTATCTTTTTGTTCGATCTCCTTTTTAAGATGATAAACGATTTTTTTTAGGTCTGGTGTCTCTTTTTCCAATTCCTCCCTTTCTTGTATTGAAAGTTCGATTGTATTTGCTAACTCCTCCTCGAGATATCGAATTCTTTCCTCACGTAAAACTATATCCCGTTCAAGATTGTATGTTCGGCGTTCATAGTCTCTGTTTGATTGAGCCAATTGATCGATTTCATCGTGAAGTTCTTGATTAGCTTGGCGTTGACCCTTTAGGTCATGATTTGAAGAATCGCCTAACGGCCTGCTCTGCAATAATTCATCCATGTTTTTTATTCACTATAGTAATAAAAGTTATGATTGAACCTGTAATTTATATTGACTCACAAAGAGCTCATGATCTTGATCGTGAAATTGCATTACAAAAATTATATTACCGACCTGAAGGGTACTATTGAACTGTTGAAAAAATGCATAATGCTTGTAAAAAGGCTGGTTATAATTTTTCACTAACAGATATAAAAAATTGGTTAAATAAACAGATAACTTTTTTGGTTCATAAAGCTCGACCATGTTTTATTCAGTATGCATCTTTTAATGGAATTCAAAATTTAAACGAAATGCATCAATCCGATCTTACTCCTATGCCTCATGATAAAATTGGTAATCGAGTTTTTA